GGGGGGCATGGGGCCTCTTACCCGAAAATCAACATTCTTTTGCCACAATTCGAGCGAAGCTAACTAACAAAATAATGTTGTGGTAATGTTTACATTCGACCTCAAAATTCACTAGCTGAGGATAGGAATCAGGCGCGTACGCAGGTTTTTTCAAGGGGGGGGGGGGGGGGGGGGGGGAGGGGGAAAAAAAGAAACACTTTTTTTTGTTGGTCTCCAAAAAAAAGATCGCTCCGTTTGGGGGGGGGGTAAGGTCAACTTTTTTAGGTTAGCCATTGGTATAATTTTTTTTTTTTTTTTTAAATTACCAAAGGGGGGGGGGGGGGGGGGTTCCTCAAAATTACACACATACAAGATACCAATACGCAGGGGGGGGGGGGTGGGGGTCAACCCCCCCCCGAATCCCCCCCTCCCCCCTGCGTACGAGCCTGATAGGAATGTTACATATTTGGGTATCCCGCTCGTCATTGCTCCGTCGCCCAAATCTTAAATTATTGATTAATTTGCGATTATTTCTTTTAAATTTCAGGTATACCACTATTCGTTGTGCTCATAGCAGCTGCAGTCAACATTGAAATCTACGACGGGGTCCTCATCAATTGTACATTCAGGTAACCATGATTACGAAGCCTTAAATATGGTTGTAAGAATGAGTGTCCTACTTTTTTACTCCTAGGTCTGAATATTGGTTTCTATATTTTATTTATTTACTTATTCAGTAATTTATTTAATTATTTATTTATTTATGAGCGAGTGACTCCAAACATCATTACTGGCAGCTGACAATCAGTCTACTTTCCAGATTTATAGATGTATAAACAATTGTTATTTATAAAAAAATTATATTTATATAGGCCTACATTTATAGTGGCGGCTCCAGGGGGTACAGGGGAAATGCTCCCCCAATTATTCCGACACCGAGTACAGACATGTGCCCCGTTCTAAACAACAAAACATGTTCATTTGTGAAAAAATTATATCGTAATGATAATTTTCAACCCATGGTTGTTATTGAAATCATTTCTTTATTTCAAAGAAAAGTATCGCAATATACAAATTTGCACTCTCAGAATGAAAGATAATCATGACCAGGCCCATGAACCTATTCGGATTCAAGGCAGATTGATGCGATGAATATTAGGATACAAAATGCAAGAAAAAAAACTAGTGATGTCACGCTCGTTCTATCTCTTGAATTCTCCAGCTGTCGTTTGAGTACCGTCGCTTTCTACGGTCTCTTCTTAACACCGATGCTCATCATCGTCCTCTTCAATAGCATCGTATTCGGGCTCGTTCTGGGTCATCAGAAAAATATAAAAAACAGGTAATCTATGAAACTAGGTCTGTTCTCAGGGACGGAACCAGGGGGGGGGGCACAGGGGGCACGTGCCCCCCGGCCAAAAAAAGAAGTTAAAATCAGCCCCAAATTCGCCCAAATATACTGGCAAAACAGGGACGTGCCCCCCCCCCCGGCCCAAAAACAAAAAAAACAACAAAAATAGTGTGCACTTCCCCCCCCCTCCCCCCTCGTGGCCCCCCGGGAAGACATTCCTGGATCCGCCCCTGGTTCTTCTGGTGGTGAATCTAGGCCATGACCGGAGAGAGAAGGGAGGGCTTGGGGTAAAGGGGGGGGGGGTTGGGATACAAGCATCATATATTTAATAGTCCGAAATTCCATGACAAACCGAAATATACAGAAGAAGGAGGAAAAGAAGAAGGAGGAAAGGAAGAAAAAGAAGGAGAAGAACAAGAATATGAGAAAGTAGAACAGAAAGAAGAAGAAGAGAAGAAGAAGAAGAAGAAGAAGAAAAATTATCCACTTTTATGAATCGCTGCTTAAAGTGGTGGGATTTTGATGTCAACACCGTGTATCAGATTTCTTTAGATTTGTATTTATATATCTAAACTTCAATTCCTTTGTTTTTATTCAGTTGTGATTGTCTCTCTCCTTCACACTCTTAGATGGTAAAAAAACGCCATTGAATCAGTTGAAAGGAGCCGTTGCTCTCCTAGTCCTCTTGGTATCTCATGGATCTTCGGCGCGGCGGCCGCCGTCAACTTCACAATCGTTCCGTCAGGATACGAAACCCAAGCTACGGCAAACATTTTTCAGGTCGGTTCACGTAGTAGATCGTCATTTTATAACCGCCCTTCTGTCCCACTTACTCTCTCTCTCTCTCTCTCTCTCTCCTCTCCTCTCGACCCCCTCTCTCCATCCTTCTCTCTTTAAAACAAAATCTTTGTTTACTGCTTCAATCCACTTCCCCTAATTCTCTGTTTCATTTTTTCTTTCATCCTTTATCTTTTTTTGTTTCTTTTTCTTTATTTTCCCCCTCCTTTTTCCCCTTTAAAAAGAATCTCGCTCGCTCTCTCTCTCTCTCTTGCTCTCTTATTTTAATATTCTCTTTGTTTATCCGTTATCTTGAAGTATTGTTTCCCTCTTATTTTTAGATGTAGGCTATGTTTTTGCAGTGATTTTTTTCGTCACTCCTAAAAGTCAACGTTGCCATGTTTGCTGTATTTTTTCATTGTTTGTCTCCGAAATGTTGGTCACCCGACTGGTTTAATTAAAATCAAAGCTTTTATCCTTAGGCCTTATTGAGGACTCTAGAAAATGCCTTTTGGGACATGTACGTCCTAAGATTATTTATTTTACAGAAGGCGATTGCCTACTTCGATACTAAGAAAGTCAGGTCAGCGTGGTCTTCGGAAAAAAATATTAACAAACCACTACTATTTCCCACATTTCTTTAATCTTTAGTTTGTTTCCTCTCTCTCTCTCTCTCTCTCTCTCTCTCAGGCTCTATTTGCAATCAGTGTTGCTTTCCAGGGCTTCTTCATTTTTATCTTCCATTGTGCAAGATACCCGGATGTTAGGCAACAATGGAAAACGACTCTGACTCCAAAGAGATGCAGACGACAGAAGAGAAAATCCAGTTGCATTCCAACCGTGTCGACCGGTTCGGGGGTTGACGGCATTCAGGTTACGCGGTTATAGCAGGAACAGTTAGCGGTAAGGGAGAATGTGATGCGGTAACCTTCGGTCCTCATCGGTAAAAACTATGAAACAGGACCCGATAGAGTGCTATCTTGACCGGTGTCACAAGAAAGAAGAAACATGTTTTCAACCGTGTCTACCGGTTCGGGGAATGATGGTATCCAAGATGTGTGGTTAGCGGTTAGGGCTAAATCGACGCGGTTATCTATCTGTCAGTGAAGCTAAACGAATGGACCGCTACTGTGACTCTGATTCTTTACCCGCTTTCACGCCAGAGAAAAAATCAGTATGTATTGTAACCGTGTCCGTGACCGGTCTGACAACGTCATCCAGAACACGGGACTATCACTGGAACTGTCAGTGGTTAGGGCTAAATCAGCGACGCGGTAACTACCTGCCAACCTCTATAAATAAGGGAAGAGGACCCGACATAATGCTACGTAACTCCGATCATTTACCGATGTAACAACAATGAAGAGTGTTGCATTTCAACCGTGCCTACCGATTCGGGAAACGACGTGAACCCGGGTGACTCGATTAGGGACGAAATGTTAGCGGTTATAGACCTTTGAATATGACATTGTCCTTGAGTGTTTGCAACTAGTATAAGAACGGCAAAGGAATTTAGTCGGTACTATTAACATTTTCGACAAATTAAATGTGCTTTTTTTTAAAAGAGTTGGTGAACGCTGTCTATACTCCAGATGTGACGTGGTATAAAAGGTACGGTGGGTGGTATATATTACATACCCAGTAACTGCTGTCCGTGAGGGCAAGAGCGACCTCAAAACCGTTTTCTTCTGAAACTATGATTCCACATAAAGCACAAAACTTTCAATGGAATGAAAACAATCGTTCACCCTTCCATATGTTATTAGGCCTATAAGTGTCTGACTTGAAAATTGATTGATATTAATGAATAATTGAATTTCGACTAAGAAACGAACGTCTGCAGACTGTAGTGTTGTAGATATAGCAGCAACATGTACGTTTTATTGATTAACGTCAACCTAGGAACTTTTATAGTATAGAAATAAGATACTATTCATATAGTGTCATGCAGAACACACAATATTATGTTGTTGTTGTTGCTGTTGTTCTCGTTGGAAGTTTTTACAATTACACAATTACCGTACCGTTGGCATCAGGGCTACGTGCGTGATGCGTATGAGAAAAGGAATACCCTGGATATATATTAGCATTGTGTTTTTGATTGTGAATTGGCAATTGCCATGAAGTGCATGCTGACGAAAGTGACTGTCAATATAATCATGTTATTTTGTAAGGCCCGTCAAACATTGAAAATAAGTGGCAATAGGTTAATTATTCTCCTTTACGTAATGAGAAGGATCATGTTTATACATTAAAGGTATTACAAAGTTTTGATATGGGGTTATGAATTTGTTTCAAATGAACATATTGGAAACATATGCGATCCTTCAATAATCAGTGATCGTTGTCGCGGTTGAAATCGAGTCTAAAGTGATGAAATTGTAAATAATAAACTGTTTCGTTGCCTAACTCCCTCTCAAGTTCAATATATTAATTTAGCTATAAAACAATGTTTCTTGACTAAAATTGACCGATTGGCTATTCCTGTTTGGAAATTATATATCACAACTACATATTCTGAGATATTCATGGTCGCAGCTTCCATTGTATGGCCGTAGGCGCTAATTCAAAATTATCGAAATTTACCGGGAGCACCGGTAAATTTTGATATTCCATTTTTTTTCGAAAGCAGAAGTGTTTTAGGGGCTAAATTTCCTAGCGCGTATAATACATCCAAATATTTTAAAATTGTAAAGAATCACTATTCAGCCAATTTTCAAAATTCCCCCAAAACTCTGTAAAACCGTTAAATCTGCAATTGATTTATCAACAGCGCCCTCTTGTGTGTCTAAATCAATCATCAAGGTGTTGTACTTCCTTGTCCGATTTTCCACTTTTTCTTTTGGTTTCAACTTAAAAAATTGTCCCTTCAGTGACAGAAATGCGGAAAAGCAGATATTATTGGACAACAATTCTCAGAAGAAGGATAATCAATATTATGGCGTGCAATAAAATGACATCAGGGTCATTTAACCGCCCTGCAAATCTATCATGAAGCCTTATGTTGCTGTCCATTAATCGATTGCAATAGTTTCGGATCATTAACAAAATTAAATCTGCATGATAGAAATTGGAGACATTGAAATATAGTTAAGGAGGAAATAGAAAGTAAAATTATAGCGAAGAATATGTAGAACGAATTCGACTTACGGTATAATAATTGACACGTGAAATCACACAGGGATAGGTTTTGTTCAATCAATTACACTGTTTGCAATAATATCCCTTGTCAGTAGAAGATACTTTTATTTGTCTAATATCGAGATATGTGTGCTACTTTGTTAAACATTGCTATTCATGTGAAATGTACTTAAATAAAAATGCAGTTTTTAATCTCTTTTTTGGGGGGCTGTTGTCAGGGTTTCACGTTTATAAGTTTGTTATGGTTCATTTAATTAAAAAATCATCGCAACTGAAAGATGAAATAATAAAGATGCGTTTAAATTACATGAAACAAACAAAAAGACATGAATAATCATTCAAAAACCATTATTACTCAACTTTAATTAGTGATAATAGAAAACAAGAAGGTATGAATGATAGTTATAGGGTCTATATGAGAGTACAAGAAATATATAACGCAGAGTCCAATACATTTTAAAAATTTGACACAATTTGAATGAGTGAGAGATTGAGAAAATTGATGAAAGAGAGAAAAGACGAGACCAGGACAGAAAAAAAAAGAAAATAATAGAATTAGAAAAAAAGAAAACGAAGAAGAAGAAGAAGAAGAATAAAATAAAAGGAAGAAGAAGAAGAGTAAAGAAGAGAAGAAAAAAAAGATCGAGAAAAAGAGAGTATGTGTGTGTGCGTCATCAACCACAAAATAACAAATTGTAATTAAGTAAATACAAATTCAGTTTAATTTCCCCATACAAAAATATAAATGTTGCCGACAACAATAGAACATAATTTGTTTGGTTTTCTTATGGTGTTACTTACACATGAACATGTACATGTAGGGTATATCAGTGGGAAAAGTAGCACTGTGCTTTCCGGCAATAAACCGCCTAAACATTGACACAGACATGAGTGATTGAAAGATGAAGGGGCTAATGAAAATGTTCAGACAATCTACTCCTAACATAATACTGTACAGTAACGGCGCTTGTATACTGAAGAAATGAGGCTAACGTTTATGTTTATATCTGTTCTAAGGGAATTGTTAGAGTTTCATCCTAAAAAGACCGGGCTATTCAATTCAAATAATTACATTTCTAAAACATGAGTTCTCGAATATCGTGAATTTTTTCTTCTTCCATTAACCATGATACTGCATGAGAGCAAAATCAAGGTATTTGGTCATTTGGTGTATTATATGGATAACCACATTATGGTTTTCGTAATATAAATTGACATCAGATGTGTTTGACACTTCATATCTTATCTGATCCGTGCTCTAGTAGGGCTATTAGCTTAATACACCAATCAGATATACTAAAATATGAGATGTGGACAGTGATGTATGGAACAAACTAGATTGAGTCTGCCTGAAAATAAGGCAGACCGTTACTACTCGTTGGGGATCAAGTCATTGGTCCTGAGATTAATGGTGAGATTTTTTACCAGGACATTCCAGAAAAAATCGTGTCCTCTCACGTCCTCGGTCCAATGTTGGTAGGGTCTGCCGTCACTTAAATATAACCTTGCCAAGAATGGTATCTCCTCGTCTGGGATGTCTTCGAGAAAGACCACGACTACGAATTCGGTCTCGGTGTCGCTCACATGGTCCATGGCGGTGCGGAATTTGAGCATAAACCAGCGATCGTGTACGGCGGCTCTGCTGAGTAGAATGATGGTTTTGTAACTATGGCTCACCACGTAGTCGACGGCGTCCAGATAGTGCATACCAAGGATTAGGTCTTGATCACCAAAGACATTCCTCTGGAACTGTGGAAGCCGTTCTTCCAGAGCTGGTTGGAGTTGTTGACGAACCCATTCTTCGTCGTCATCGTAGAAGATGATATTCAAGTCAAACTCATAGTCGTTGTGGTCCCGGGCGTCTCGCATCTCTTTATATCCAATTGCCATTAGTTTCAAGAGAAAGAGTTTGTACTTCAACGGCCATCGGTTGTGATAAAGGACTACGACGATGACAACCAAGAAAATGCCGGCGAGAGGAGTCAAACACACAAGAACAATATTGAGTCCACAAAGTTTATTGGGATCAAAATCAAGCAAAGGTTTCTCGCGAAGAGGCTCTAAAGAGGCCGATGAACAGACTGTTCTGTTTTTGTCAATGACGTCAATATGCCCACTCATCCAATCGCGGAACCATCGTAGATCGCAGTTACAAACGATAGGGTTCAATGAAAAATCGAAAGATAGAAGCGAAGATTCTATCGGTTCAAATGTTTTTTTTGGTTGAGAAGGGTTAATTTATTGTTCGATAGCAATAGAGTAGTCAGTCTAGGATTGTTTGAGAATAGTTGTTCTTCGAGGTATGCCAAAAGGTTGTCATGAAGATCGATAATAGTCACTTGATCTAACATTTTGAATATATCAAAATTAAGTTGTTGAATTACGTTTTCACTTAAATTTAGCACCCGAAGCGATTCCAATCCCGTAAAAGCTAATGGATGAAGGCATGAAATATGACAGGCTTCTAAACTAAGGTTCTGAAGAGCAGAGAGTTGTTTGAAGATCCTAGCCGGAAAATCATCTGGAAAGTAAAAGTCAAAATGATTTTGGCTCAGATCCAAAGTAATAAGATTTGACAATCCATCAAAAAGAGAAACATTCAGAATTTCATCCCAGAGATTGAATGTCGACAGCCCCGAATTACGGATTTCCAAATTTTCAAGGCCTTGTGAATCTTCGAAGGTTATTCCAGGTGGCATCATGATCATTTTGGCGATCATGTTATTCATGAAAAGTGTTGTTAAGTTCGGGGCTACCGGTTGAAATATGTCCATATTGCAGAAGTTGCAAAAGTTCAAGGCGATGGTTTAATTCCCGTCAGTTTCGAAGACGACGTGATATTCAGGACAATAAGGTCTTTGTTGAAGCTCAGATCTAACAGCGTTAGATTTCGCAAACCGAAAAATGCGAATTCTGAGATTTCTGTCAAAGAATTGCTGCGTAAGTACAACTCATTCAAGTCCAGTGTCCATTCGTCAGTATTTGGGTTTATATATTTTATTTGATTGAAATTCAAGTTCAGAACTTTAAGCTCCCGCATGCCTTGAAAGAATACCGGTTCAACAGTGATGATTTTGTTTTGCGATAGATCAAGTTCCACGAGTCTTGTCAAGTTTGAGAACACGTATTGAGAGAGAGATTGTAAATTGTTGCCGGTGAATTTAAGCACGGGAGGAGAACAATTACGCAAGGGACTAAAGAAATCTCGTGGCAAGACTGTGAAATTGGCACCATGTATAGTGAGCTCCACTATTTCAGAGCGACAGATCCCGATAAAAGTATCCTTCAGTACCTCAAGTGTTAACGGGTAGTCTCCAAGGACCAGTGATCGGACCAGTGATGGCGCAGCGAAAATTAGTTGATATCTATGAATTTTGACTAAAAAGCAAACATCCGCAGGCTGTAAAGTGTTGTAGATATAGCCTAACAGCAACAACCGTTTACTAGTGCATGGTTAAAGAGAAGGTTGAGTTCTGGGAAGAGGTGAAAAATAATTTGTGAGCGTTATCATTCTTATTATGCAAGTGTGGTAGAACATCAGATAAGACATGTTCCCTGAAAAGCATGGCTCTTCAAATGCCTTCATATTCTAAATATGTCATGTAACATCGTAAAACTCGAGGGTTGGATTTTTACGCCACGTGTTCGTGTAGTCCCATATACATCTTTCTGTGTACAGTGTTTGTAACTTTACCAAGACTTGGCCAAATTTCTTATCATTTTGATGATTCCAGAACCTTGCAATACACACAAATTCTTATATGCTAGATGATCAACCTTTTCTGGTCGATTCCACACCGTTTCTTTCACAATGCAATCGCATGACCAGAACTCAACTTCATCTTTAACGTTAACCGCGGATCAGCGGCAAAGTGCATTGTATGTTTGTGTAGTACAGACATAGTATCGTCGGCCTTATGCCAAAGGGCCTTAACTGCTTTTGGCCATTCCGAGATAATCGCGTTTAAAGGTTTTGGCCTCTCTAATAATCAAAAGTTTGTGGTCGTTTTTTTGCTTTTGAAGCCAATTTCGATAAATGTGTTAAGTTATTAAGTTTTACATGAAATGTGTTAAATTTGTTATAAAATATTCAGAATTGTACATGCTATGTGCAAAAAAACATGTTAGGGCCTTTTTGGCATAAGGCTTGAATGTAGCGTATGTTAGCGTATGTTATGCCAGAAGGGCCGTAACCTACTCGGCATTATGCCAAAAGGGGCGTAACCTACGCGGCGTTATGCCAAAAGTGCCTTAACCTGCCGTTATCGTACGCGTAACTATGCGCGTAACTATGCGCGCGTAAGCGCGCATAGTTAGCGCCCTTTTGGCATAAGGAAATTTTCTTGTTTCGCAACACCTTTGGTTTGCCACAAAGGCCCTCCTAACGCAAATGGATCATCCGTGTAGGTTAAGGCCCTTTTGGCGTAAGGAAAAAGATGAGATACGCGTTAAGGCCCTTTTGAAATTCATAATTATCTTCATAAATAAATCGAATTTCAACAAGTGAAGCACATCATTTTAAAGAGAATGATGAAATCTACAAGGTGATATTAATAACTCAATAACCCCCAAAATCGGGGTTAAGGCCCTTTTGGCATAAGGCCGACGGTATACTCTTCATATAGTGGCATGGGTGCCATGCAGAGCACTAATGTTGTTGTTGTTGTTGGTGTTTTCCTTGATAGTTTTTACAATTACCGTTGGCAGGGCCTACATGCATGTGAGAAACGGAATTTCCCGGTATTGGCCTATATACCCTACCTCCAAGAATTTAGAGTTGTATTTTTGTTTGTGAATTAGCAATCGCCATGATGTACATACTGACGAAAGAGACTGTCACTGAAATTATGTTATTTTGTAATTATGTTGAGGGTTACCCGTTAAACATTGAAAATAAGTGGCAATAGCCAATAGGTCAATTCTTCATCACGTAATGAGAAGGATCATTTTTATACATTAAATCTGCAATTATTGATTTCTCAACAGCGCCCCTTGTGTGTCAACATTAATCTGTCATGGTGTTGTATTCCTTGTCCCAATATTGTCCATTTTTCCTTTTGCGTTCAACTTCAAATTGGCGGAATTTGCAGAAATGCGGAAAAAAAGACAATATTGGAGAATACATTCTCACATTCTCAGAAGAAGAAAAATCAATTTATTACGAGCAAACCTCTCGTAAAGCCTTTATGTTGCTGTACACTAATCGATTGCAATAGTTTCAAAATATTTTCGGATCATTAAAAAAATTTAATCTGCATGATAGAACATGAATACATTAAAATATGGCGAAGGAGGAAATAGAAAGTAAAATTGTAGCGAAGAATGTGTAGAATGAATTGGACTTACGGGATGATAATTGACACTTGAAATTACACAGGGAAAGGTTTCGTTCAATTACACTGTTTGCAATAATATCTCTTGTCAGTAGAAGCTACTTTTATTTGTCAAATATCTAGATATGTGTGCTACTTTGTTAAACATTGCTATTTTTGTGAAATGTACTTAAATAAAAATGCAGTTTTTAATTTATTTTTTGTGGGGCTGTTGTCAGGGTTTCACGTTTATAAGTTTATTATGGCTCATTTAATTACAAAAATCATCGCAACTGAAAGCTGAAATAATAAAGATGCTTTTATATTACATAAAACAGACAACAAGATATGAATAATCATTCAAAAACCATTATTACTCAACTTGAATTTGTTTCGATAGAAAACAAGAAGGTATAAGATAGCTTCAGGGTCTATATGAGAGTACAAGAAATATATAACGCAGATCCCAATATATTTTAACAGTTTGACACAATTTGAATGAGGGAGAGATTGAGAGAATTTATGAAAGAAAGAAAAGACGAGACCAGAACAGAAGACAAGAGAAAAAAATAGAATTAGAAAAAAAAAAAGAAAACGAAGAAGAAGCAGAAGAATAAAAGAAAAGGAATAAGAAGAAGAAAAATACAAGAAAAAGAAGAAGAGAAAAGAATAAAAGAAAAAGAAGAAGAAGAAGAGGAGAGAAGAGAAGGAAGAGAGAGAGAGAGAGAGAGAGAGAGAGTATGTATGTGTGTGTGTGTGGGTGTGCGTCATCAACCACACAAAAAACAAATTGTAATGAAGTTAATACAAAGTCAGTTTTATTTCCCCATACAAAAATATAAATGTTGCCGACAACAATAGAACATAATTTGTTTGTTTTTCCTATGATGTTACTTACACATCAGTCACATTTGTTGTTTCTTAATTCAATATATACATTTCGCATTTATACATCGTCTTTTTTGAGCCACAATGGCATTGATCCATTATACTTTGACATGGAGTTAACGCCCTTGTGACCCCAAACAGACGACATGTTAAAAGTGTCCGTTAATATTTGTGTACATTATGACTTGTATCACGTATATTCCAGTATGAATAATATGAAGTATTAGCCCTCCATTGTTAATGCTAAAACATGACCTTCGCCTTTTCTCTTTTCTTCTTGTATGTATTTGTTTTGAATTATCTATACAAGACAGTGTATGTATTTACATGTTTCTAGCTGTCTCTTCCTGGATCTTGGATCTGGAATTGAACTCGAGCCTGAACTTTACTGTGACACCTTATGGTCCCATTTGAGCATATAAATTCATCTACATTTATAGCATATTTACAAGGTATATACAATTGTCGCTAAGTTTACGACCCGGGGTAGGGGGTACTCAGTCTCAGTTTGGATGGGGGGGGGGGGGGGGTGTGGCTGAAGCGTCCAAACCCATATCCCATTTTAGAGGTTTTGGGACCATCGGCGATTACTTTTTCCTTGACTTTCCAGATGTGATTTCCATGAATGTTAAAATGTCCGAAAAATGGAAAATTTAGTTTACTAAATTAATCATTTCCATAAATATGGGTTTGTGATGCCATACATTCGTGTCTTTACACGTACCTTCATTTCAAAGGTTAAAACAGTCAAAAGGTGGAAGTTCTGGTATATATGCATCAGTGGGGAAAGTATCACTTTTCCGGCAATAATCTGCCTAAACATTGGCACAAATGGAGTGATTGACGGACGAAGGCGTTAATGCAAATGTTCAGACAATCTACTACCAACATTTACAGTAACGGCACTTGTATACTGAAGAAAATGAGACTTGTGTTTGATGTTATAGTTTAACCCTTACATGACCGGGTTATTTTGGTCCAAACACAGAGAAAAAGAGGTTTCAATTTACTCCTTACTCGCATAAGTGACACCCCTCAGGGAGTAAATTTAATCCCCAATGTAGGGAGTAAATTTACACCCTACAAGAAGGTGTAAATTTGCACCCCAAGGTTATGATTTTATTCCCTTTAAGGAGCGAAATTTGCACCCAATGGTGATTAATTAAAGGTATTACAAAGTTTTGGTAAATTTTGAAAATTGGCTGGATAGTGATTCTTTACAATTTTGATATATTTGGATGCCCCTATAGATGTATTATAAGCACTAAAAATGTTAGCCCCTAAAACTCTTCTGCTTTCGAGAAAAATTGAATATAAAAATTTACCGGTGCTCCCGGTAAATTTTGATAAATTTGAAATAGCGCCTACGGCCAGACGATGGTAGCTGCGACCATAAAAATCTCAGAATATGCAGATCTGATATAATATTCCATACGGTAATAGCGAATCGGTCGATTTTAGTCAAATAACATTGTAGTATAGCTAAATTAATATCTTGACCTTGAGAGGGCGCTATACAACATAAAGAGTTTATTATTTACAATTTCATCACTTTAGACTCGATTTCAACCACGACAACGTTCACTGAATATTGTAGGATTGCATATGCTTCCAATATGTTCATTTGAACCAAATTCATTACCGCATACCAAAACTTTGTATAACCTTTAACACCTTTTGGTTCCATTTTCATGAAAAATGGGTTCAAAATTACACCCGTGGGGTTGAATTTTATACCCTAAATGATCGATTCCACACACTGTGGGGAGTAAATCTACACCCTTCTTATGCACAGCATCAACCAATTGATCATCGCTCGAGCAAACAAACATCCATACTTCGTAATCACCTAACGGTCACTGATTCTCACCCTTTTGTCTACGTTTCACTGCTCTAAAGAAATCAGACCAGAATCTCGAGTTAAGGCCCGGTCACACAGCCTTTCGCGTCTGTATCGCGGGTAAAATTTCGCGATTTTTTTTTTGCCCGCGGTTGCCCGTGGTGGAAAATGTGCAAAATTGGCTAACCCGCGGTTTACCCGTGGTATGCCCGCGGAACAGACGCCGGCGACTGTTCCGCGTCCTTACTGCGGGTGAAGCGCGGCGGTACCGCGGCCTACCACGGGTATAATAAAGCAGCCGAACCGGGCTGTAGAAATCATAACCGCTCCGTGCTTACACGCGGTACACACGCTAATGCACGTGATAACAGTGACGCGGTACAGACGCGGAACAAACGTGCTATGACCGTGCTCCACCCGCGATTACCCGCTAAAATTTCGCGTCCTACCGCGTGTAACCACGTCTTAGCCGCGGCCGTAGCACGTCCTAGCACGTTCGTTCCGCGTCTGTACCGCGTCTTTACCGCGTGTGTACCACGTGTACCACGTGTACCGCCCGCGATTACCCGCGGTCTAAATTTTTGGGCAGCCCAAAACTTTTTCGCGCGGCCAACCGCGTGTGAATTTCTTACCGCGTGTAACGACGGGTAAAGTACGGCTGTATCGCGTCTTTATCGCGACCTCAAAGCGTCCAACAGCGTCTGCTTCACGGGCAGAAATTTTTGGCCGTGATTCGGCCGCGATACGCCCGTGGAGGGCTGTGTGACCGGGCCTTTATATGACGAAAAACTTTAACTCTTACCATGCCACAGGGCTAATTCCCATTGTACCAAGCTCCAAATCCCCCCGTGCCAGGTTATTTTTGAGATAATCGGATTAACGCGACGGTTCTATGAATGGCGAGTGCAAAACACACAGCACAGTCCAATGAGCATGAACAATAAATGCTATTACGCACATGGCACTCAAGCAATAGCTCTCTCGCATGTACAAAGCACTGTAGCGATAGCGTGCATGCAGCCCTATGACAGCCCGGCCCCCCCCCCCCACTCAGTGTTATTTAGGGTACGCATATGCGTGTTCCAACCGACCCCCCCCCCCCCCCTTTCAGCAAAAGTCCGGTGTGTAAAGTCAATACGGGTCGACCTTTTTCTTTTGTTACGAAAAGGACATTTTGGCAACACGCATGGGGTCCGTCCGTTCTCGGAGTGGGGGGGGGGGGGGCGGGTATGACAGGCTATGAATTAATGCTTACCTAAACAACAGTTAGTGTGAACTCAACACAATTGCAGACTGTAAGAACCAACTAAGTGAGGCTGGCCTGGATGGACGTATCGGATGTAGTGGAACTACTTAAATACACGATACTACCTTCCTGGATATCTTCCCTTTACTTACACGTATAAGAAGGCAATTATGTACTAGTTAGTAAAACAACACTTCTGCTGATTTCATTAAATTATCAAATATAACCTTCGATACAACCCCTTATTCTTGATCAGATAACTTTCACACAAATAATATGCCCAAATGAATACCTTACAAATAATATGCCCAAAAGAATACCTTTTATTTCTCAGTGTGTATAGAGTAACATGAAGATGTATTTGTTGCTATTTCTTCCCTCAACCGGTATACTGCACAAGAGCAAAACCAGGGTATTTCGCTATTTAGTGTATCATAATTAATGCATGACCACATATTATGGATTTCTGAATATAAATGGACATCAAGTGTGTTTGCCACTTCATATTTAGTCTGATCCAAGCTCCAGTAGACATAAGTGCTCTTAGCTTAATACATAAATCAGATATACTAAACTCTGAGATGTGGACAGTAGTGTAGAATGGAACACACTATCCCGAAAATAAGTCAGACCGTTACTACTCGTTGGGGATCAAGTCATTGGTCCTGAGATTAATGGTGAGACTTTTTACCAGTTTATTCCAGAAAAAAGCGAGTCCTCTCACGTCCTCGGTCCAATGTAGGTAGGGTCTACCGTCACTTAAATATAACCTTGCCAAATATGGTATCTCCTCGTCAGGGATGTCTTCGAGAAAGACCACGACTACGAATTCGGTCTCGGTGTCGCTCACATGGTCCATGGCGGTGCGGAGTTTGAGCATAAACCAGCGATCGTGCACAGCCGCTCTGCTGAGTAGAATGAGCGTTTTGTAACTATGGGTCACCACGTAGTCGACGGCTTCCAGATAGTGCATACCAATGACGAGGTCTTGATCACCAATGACATTCCTCTCGAACTGCGGAAGCCATTCTTCCAGAGCTGGTTGGAGTTGTTGACGAACCCATTCTTCGTCGTCATCGTAGAAGATGATATTCAAGTCAAACTCGTAGTCGACGTGGTCCCGAGCATCTCGCATCTCTTTATATCCAATTACCATTAGTTTCAAGAGAAAGAGTTTGTACTTTAACTGCCATCGGTTGTGATAAAGGACTGCGACAACGACAATCAAGAAAATGCCGGCGAGAGGAGTCAAGCATACAAGAGCAATGTTAAGTCCACAAAGTGTATTGGGATCAAAATCAAGCAAAGGTTTCCCGCGAAGAGGCTCTAAAGAGGCCGATGAACAGACGGTTCGGTTCTCGTCAATGACGTCAATATGTCCACTCATCCAATCACGTAACCATCGTAGATCGCAGTTACAGTTGATAGGGTTCATTGAAAATCGAGAGATAAAAGCGAAGATTCTATCGCTTCAAATGTCGTTTGGTTGAGACTGGTTAATCTATTGTTTGATAGCAAAAGAGTAGTCAGTCTGGGATTGTTCGAGAATAGTTGTTCATCGAGGTATGCCAAAAGGTTGTCATCAAGATTGATGATTGTCATTTGATCTAACATTTTGAATATATCAAAGTTAAGTTGTTGAATTATGTTTCCACGTAAATTTAGCACCCGAAGCGATTCCAATCCCGTAAAAGCTAAATGAGGAATGCATGAAATATGACAGGCTTCTAAACTAAGGTTCTGAAGAGCAGAGAGTTGTTCGAAGATCCTAGCTGGAAAGTCAACTGGAAAATAAAGGTCTAAATAATTGTGGCTCAGATCCAAAGTAATAAGATTTGACAATCCTTCAAAAAGAGATATATTCAGGATTTTATCCCAGAGATCAGGGAACAACAGCTCCGAATTTTGGATTTCCAAATCTACTAGGCCTTGTGTATGTTTGAAGGTTATTCCAGGTTGCATTAAAGTCATTAGGCTGTTCATGTTATTCAAGTAAAGAGTTGTTAAGTTCGGGGCTACCGGTTGAAAATAGGAAATACTGCAATAATTCAAGGCGATGGTTTGAATTCCCGTCAGTTTCGAAAACGACGTGATTTCCAGGACATTAAGGTCATAGTTCACGTTCAGATCTAACAGCTTTAGATTTCGCAAACCGAAAAATGCGAATTCTGAGATTTTTGTCAAAGAATTACCACGTAAGTGCAACTCATTCAAGTCCACTGCCCATACGTCAGTATTTGGGTTTATATATTTGATTTTATTGGAGTTCATGTTCAAAATTTTTAGCTCCCGCATGCCTTGAAAGAATACCGGTTCAACTGTGACGATTTGGTTTTGCGATAGATCAAGTTCCACGAGTCTTGTCAAGTTTGAGAACACGTACGGAGAGAGGGATTGTAATTTGTTTTCAGTGAATCTAAGCAAGGAAAGGGAGCAATTACACAAGAGACCAGTCACATCATGTTGCAAGATTGAGAAATTAGCACCATTTATAGTGAGCTCCACTATTTCAGAGCGACAGACCCCGATAAAAATATCCTTCAGTATCTCAAGTGTCAACGGGTAGTATGAGTATCCAAGTTCCAGTGATCGGGCACGCAACGATGCAATAACGTTCGGGTCTACTGATTTAATAGGATTCCCGTGTAGATCCACAAAACCACTTTGACATCCGAAGATGACAGATTCTGTCGTGAGATGCTCGATTTTATTATACGCCAAGCTAATGTTCTTTACTCTGCCACAAAGGCCCATGTTAACGAAAGTGAGTTTGTTAAAGCTAAGGTCTATAGACTCTACAGATTGGCTCCATTTAAGAGTGTCGTTTGGAAGCAGTTTCAGATTACAAAATGACAGATCCAGGATGGACAGGTTCTTAGACCACCTGAATAGATCTGTAGCTGGGAGAACAAGATTAGGGTTGTCATATAGGATTAAACGATTCAAGTCCTTTAGAGGGTAAAAAGATGCAGATTCTATCATTCTGATGTCGTTTTTGGAAAGACGCAAGACCTGGATCAAAGGGTATCTCTTGAAAGAAGAACTCAAGATGAAAGTGATATTGTTGAACGCGACATCCAGTTCTTTTATATCGTTGGGAAGATTTTGAGGGATGGAGTCCAACCCACGATCATAGCAATCAGCTTTCTTTTGCTCGGCATCATAATGACATATCATAGGAGGTGTAAACATGGCATCTTGGTGTATGGTTTGGATGAGCGTCGGTGTTAGAATACAAAATACAACCAATGATAGACATCGTAGAAGAGGTACTCGTCGTATGAATGCCATAGTAACTGATTCCTGTCTGAGAATAAAAATAGAAGATAATAAACTGCAGAAGACCAAACTCCACATTAACAATTATAACCCTGACAACAGGCCTATCACTGACCTCAACCCTAAGCCTAACCAGAATACATTATACTGATGATTGGTAACGTATTCTTCACTTATGTCATTTAGACATGATAAGGGGGGCAATGTAGTAATGAGAAAGTTGTTTTATTTGTATAAGAAATAACAGCCCATTTGAAAGAACTCCTGTTTTATTTTTTTGTTAGTGTCTACAGCATCAAGATTTATACGTATAATAAGTAGAACAATTCTATGTTATCAGTAAGTGAAAGTAGTCCAACTACATGTACTACACTCGAAATTGATGAGGAAAACAAAAATAGCTTATTGGCTAGAAAGAAATTCTTTAAAAAAAAAAAGATATTGAGCTTATGGGTAAATACTGTGTAAATCTTTACGAGCAGTATGCAGTAATACAATAATTTTAAGTAGAGATATTTTGCGATACATTTTAAAGCCTATAGCCCTTGTGTAATTTTACGTCGTTTTTTCATTCACATACAGCAATCAAAGCAAGAAACTATCGTCAGATTTTTTTGTATAGTCAGAGATCATTTCACTTTTATATTTACCTCAACTTTAAGAAAGATCAATAAAATATTCCCAAAATGTTCTACTGCGGAGTCAGCATCTGGCAATAACGGCTGACTTGGTTTGGAGAAGAATCAATATACACCAATGCAGGAAGAGCTTCACGAAATCACATTAACTTTCATGCCCTGTAAAAACCATCCTTCATGAATGAACCGGTTTCCATCAGTTGTACCACATTTCCTGAAATCAAAACATCCTATTTCCGATAGAAAAGGAAATGTATATTTTACTAAAATCTTAATCATATATTTGCCTAGTATAGTCTGAAGAAAAAGTAAACTTCTGGGAAAAACTGAGGAAATGTAAAAAAAAAAGAGTACCCACCTCTGGTAGCTTCTAATTAAAAAGCTACGTTGAATCATTATTTTGCATAGTAAAGGATAACTAATACACCGTATAATGATAGTATATTCATAATTGTGATGCCACGGATAACTGAGCAGCAGGCTTTCCAAAAAGGATTGTCAAAGTCCTCTTGTAAGTTTGGGCTGAAGCAATGACTTTGAGTCAAAAGCCATCATGTGTTTTTTTTCATTTATTTTATTTCAACACGGATCACTTGCTCTTCTGCAAGTCCGTGCATACATAAACAGAAATCATATACAAAATATATACAATTCAAAATAACACGCAACACAAATTATACAATTACAACAGTAAAATAAAAGCGGATTTAAAATCAATTGAAAAAAATACATTGACAAATAATGTGACCAGTGTGATAAAAATATAATAATAACTAAATACAAATATAAAATTAAGTAAATTAAAGTAAAAGTTAAGTTAAAATTAGGAATTGAGAATATAAAAAAAATGAAAATTGATATATATTTAAAAGAGTAAACCTCATGATACAATAGATTGAGAAAAACAAGCGAATTAGTAAACTGGCAAACATAGATTATAACTATATTGAATAAGCAGCTAGTGTGATTGCACAGCATACTACACAGATTGCGAACAAAAGGCATAACAGAGAGAGATAGATAGATAGATAGATGGAGAGAGAGGGAGAGGGAAAAAGAGAAAGAGAGATGTGAGGAAGAGAGAAATGAAGAGAGAGAGAGAGAGAGAAGGGGGGGGAAAGAGAGAGATGAAGAAAAGAAGCCACTATACTATTTCACTCTATATAGTATACTGTCCAATTTGAAAATGTAAAAGCTCAAAGCTTTTACATCATTAGGTTATTAGGTTATTCATTAGGTTATTCATTCCATCGTTTTGCTCTTCTGTATTGCAGACTTCTCTTTTTAAAGTTAGTTTTAACCGGTGGTACTTGATTTTAAAATATGAATGAAAAACATATTAATTACGGTTACTCAAAACAAATTGATTACATGTACTCTCTGGTGGCATATCATGGGCAATGTTGTACATTATACGTAAAGTGCGAATATTTCGCCTCTCCTCATTACAAGTCTTTTGACATCTAATTTTGTAAATAATAGTTCAGACGGATACATGCAATCCACATCTAATACACAACGAAGAGCTCTATTTTGAAGTTTTTGTAGA